AAGGGAACAACAACAAAAAAGTAATTATAACAAAGCCTGTACTCTAACCATCCCCCAAAATAACATTTATTATTATTATTTTCTTTCTTTATTTTTTTCAGGAACAGTTACAGCTTCCTTGCTTTCACTTTCAATTAAAGATCATTAATAGTGTCAAACGTTCTAATAGTTACGGTGCCATAGAGGCCAAGGAGAAATAAAAACAGACTGTAAAACTAGTATTTGCTTGAAAGCTGAGCAACTTCAACCCTTTAGAGAAGCACTTTTAGAGATGATATCCTATTTTATTCACCGTAACTCTCCCAGTTATTATGACTTCTAAAACGATGCAAACTATATATATATAAAACTGTAACCATCAAAATAAAAAAAAAAGTCCTATATCAAGCTTAGTGTTTTTCAAGCAATTGTCTGTATGCACCATAATGTGCGTTTGCCTAAGACATAGATGTTTCTACTGAAGCAATATTGTGTCTTACAATTCCTTTTCATGTAGTTTGCATTGTTTCTATACTTGGAGTCTTGTAGGCACAAAGAATGATTTCTGTCTCCCTGGAATGACAATTCATGTTGTTTACTGGGACATCACTTGCTGTGTGACACAAGGTCTTCTGGCAATTAACTACCTGCGTGTAAGTGATGTGAGTCTAGAACTGGCAACTGCCACAGACTTCATTGCCAGTGAGCATGTGATGCAGAAGCAAACCTGGAACTAAAATGCTTCCTCTCTTTTCACTATACTGGTTGGTAAAAAAAAAAGGCATATCCCTTTGATCGTAACTAGATTAGCACTTAAACAGCAGTTTTTCTCTAGCAGCATCTACATCGACATTATGCTCTGAGCTCTTTCCCTAGTGTCCAACTCATACAGTAATAAACATAAAGGACACCCTGTCTTTCAGTTCTGCTAAACCAGATTTTCTCTGCTAAGCTTGTGTTTGAATGGAATCACTGCTTAGTTAGCCTGTTTTCAAATTTGTAGGATTTTTTTGTTTCATTTTGCTATTTTTGCATATATCCATCCCCACACACACCTTACTTTCTTTCTCTCAGACTGAAGTTTGCTCTATCTCCTCCAATACCTCACTTGCCAGTCTGTTTAAAAGCCCACCGATGTATCCCCCATAGCAATCTGTCATAGTCTTGTTACAAAATCATAGAACCATAGAATTGTTTGGGTTGGGAGGGACCCTAAAGATCATCTAATTCTACCCCCCGCCATGGGAAAGGACACCTTCCACTAGAAGCCTTCAGAGGCTGTGTTAGGTTTTGTATAAAAGCAAAAGACTTCCTAAATGTTGATCCCCCTCAAGTGTCAGTTTCACTACACTGCAGTATCTTCAATGAGACAAAGTTTTTGAAGATACAGAGCTGTGAACAGCTTGCTTTTTGCATCTACGAATCACACCAAAAATCCCAAATTAAATCTGTTACACAAAAAGATGTCCTATTTCACCTTGGCATCAGAATTCCAGATAAAGCAGATCACACTTCATTTATGCAGTTCATTTACCTCCAGGATGCTATATATTACATGGAGGAAAAGACAACCATCAGTACTGGGTTTACGTGTCAAGATTTTCATAGCTGGTGGTGCTGCAGGGGTGACCTCTGTGAGAAGAAACCATAGGCTACCCCCACGTCAGACAGAGCCCCTTCCAGCCAGCTCAGAAATGGACCCACCGCTGGCCATTGCTGAACCTGTCAGAGACACCGGTGGCACATCTTAGAGAAAATATTTAAGAAAGGGTTGAAAGTGCTGTACAAGAGGAGTACAAGAAGTACCAGGAGTGAGAAATAACCGTACAGACACCCACGCCAGTAAAGAAGGAGGGGGAGAGGTGCTCTGGGTGCCAGAACAACCAGGTGCCTCCCGCAGCCTGTGGAAAGACCACAGTAAAGCAGGCTGTCCCCCTGAAGCCAGTGGAGGACCGCGTGGGAGCAGATCTCCATGCAGCAGCCCATGGAGGACCCCATGCTGCAGCAGGTGGATATGCCCAGAGGGAGGCTGCAGCTGGTGGAGAGCCCCTGCAGGAGCAGGCTCATGGCAAGAAGTGCAGCCTGTGGAGAGTAAACCCATGGTGGAGCAGTTCTGGTGGGAGCTGCTGCCCACGGGGGACCCATGCTGGAGCAGTCTTTTCCTGAAGGATGGACCCCATGGTACAGACACATATTTGAACAGTTCTTGATGAACTGTGGCTCATGGGAAGGACCCATGCCGGAGCAGTTTGTGAAGGTATCACATCCCAAGGGAGCAAGGGAAGAGAGTGAGAAGGAAGGAGCAGCAAAGACAAAATGGTGTAGACTGTCCACAACCCCCATTCTCCGCTCCCTGATGTCACTCAGAGGTGAGGAGGCAGAAGAATTGTAAGTAAAGTTGAGCCTGGGAAGAAGGGGGTGGTGGTGGGGAAAGGCGTTTCTAGTTTTAGTTCTCACTATTTTACTCTGCTATTAATTGGCAATAAATTAAACTAATCTCCCCTAAGTTTGGCCTGTGACCAGATGGTAAGTGATCTTTCTGTCTTTACTTTGACCCATGAGTTTTTTCATCATATTTTCCTCCCTTTCCCTGAAGAGGAGAAGGAGAGATTGGCTTGGTGGCCACATGACAGCCAGCCAATGTTACACCCCTACACAGTCCTTCTTTCTTAAAATCATAAATACTGACCTGAAGCAATGCGTAATGTCCAGAACCAGTCAGTAAGGACTCTGCTGTTGAGACTATGGTACTGTTTCACAGGCATGGATGACTTAAGGAACTCTTCAGTATTTACTGGATTACATATCCCATTCATTCAGTGAACCCCATTTCCATAACATTATTCCAGTAGAACCCTCTCAAGGTGACTTAACAAGTGAATAAATGAATACATAAATTCTATTCTGAATTGTAGACACTGGTTTCAAGAATAATGTGATATTCAACAGTTTTCAAGCTCCCTTGACAGATATATTGATGCAGGATAAGAAACCTAAGAAAAAATATATCATTCATGAATTCAGAAAGCAAGCAGATGTAAATTTGTAAATCCAGATGAATCTGGTAGCCTCAGTCTGCAGTTTGTGCTGATCCTTTCACTGACATGTTTGTCATCTATTATTCTCAGTTTTAAAAATCATACTTAGTACTTATTGTTGACTGAAACCTGTTCATGACATTCTCTCATTGGTCACAAATAATTTATTTCTAACTTGTGCTCCTTCACATGACTTCCAAACACCACTCCAAAACATATTGCAGAGAAATTAACAGTTGGGTGTCATTTTATGTCATCCACCTTTCCAAATCATTCTGGCTTTGGAGAAAATCAGATAAAAGGAAACATCCAGAAACTTATTGGCTAAACAACCTTAGCTGATGGCACAGAATGCACCTTCAGTAAGTTTGCAGATGACACAAAACTCTGATGAGTGATTGTTAAACCAGACAGGTGTGCTGCCATTCAGAGAGACCTTTAAGCTTGGAAAAATGGGCTTACAGGACCCATTCAATAAAGGGAAATGCCAAGTCATGCAGCAGGAGAGGTACATGCTGGGGACCAACCACTGGGAAAGCAGTTTTGCTGTGATGGACATTGGAGCAAGGTGACCATGAGCCAGCAATATGCCCTCTTAACAAAGAAGGCCAAAAGCATCCTCAGCTGCATGAGGAAGAGTGTTGCCAGCAGGTTGACTGAGGTGATCCCTCTGTGGGGAAGAGAGATATGGAGCTGCTGGGGAGAGCCTAGTGAAGGGCCGCTAGGATGATTAATGGCTCGGAGCATCTTTTTTATGAGCAGCCACTGAGGGGCTGTTCACCCTGGAGAAGGGAAGGCCCAGGAGGACCTTATTAATGTGTATAAATACCTGATGGGAGGGAGTGAGGATGAAGAGCCGGGCTTTCAGTGGTGCCCAGTGACAGGACAAGAGGCAAACTGAAACGAGAAATTCCCTTGAAATATAAAACATTTTCTGTGTGGGTGGTCAAACACTTGAACAAACCTGTGATACTCTCAGGTACTCCAGAGATACTCTGGAGTCTCCATCTTTGTGGATATTTAAAACCCAAGAGGACACAGCATCAAGCAAGTTGTAGCTGGTCTTGCGTTGAGCAGGGGAGTTGGGCTAGATGATCTCCAAAGCTCTTTTACAGCCTCAGCTATTCTGTGATTTTGTCATTTTCAACAAGTGGGCACATCCCTGCAGTATTTTACAAGTTAAAAAACATGCTGATGTGAAAATCTGGATTATAGAACGTTACATTTCTGTGTTTATCACCAACCAGTGTTACTAACTGGTACCCATGATTGCTGCCACTAATTTCTGCTTTCAAGCACATCACCATTCTGAATTAATTCGTTACTTTCTTGTACCTGTTTGAATATTAGTGTAGCATTATATTTTATATATTTTTCAATAAATTGCATGGAAAAATGTAACTGTTGACTAAAAATAATTTAAAGGACGCTTCCAGACAGTATACATTCAGTGTATTCCTCAGGTGTACAAGCAGTTTGGCTGACTTCTGTTGTACTTTGCTTCTTAACCACCTCATTTCTACCACATGGTTGTTAATGAATTTTACTCACTGCAACTTATTGCAGGGGGAGCTGAAGAGGGAGAATATTTTTTCTTTTAAATAGGTTGCATTCTTCAAATAAAAGCACAGAAAATGAATGTATTATCTTGTATGAAACATGAAATATTCAAACAAGTAGTTGCAAAATGATTTTATAATAAGTTATATTTTTTGATATAGAAGAGAAACTGAGCAGGCTGCTGGGAGGAAAGATGTGCTAAAGAAAATAAATTTGTCAAAAATGTCTTCATTTGTTTCATTCAAATATTTCTGAATAACTTTAGCACATTTAGCACAAACTTTAGTGATTCTAAGAGTACTAACAGTGGTAATGTTGCCTGGAAATCTGCTTCTTATGCATGAGAATAAAACATAGGAGATAAAGCTCTGTAGAAAGATAAGTAAACTTGACAATAATGCAGAAATTTTAATGAGAACCTACCTTGCCTACATACTGGTAATCAGATCCTGTGTATTCTTCTAAAAGGAAAAACTGGTTCCACATCCAGCCGCGCTTCTGGCGGTGAAGGGCTTTTCCATCGCTGCCTGATGTACGTCCCACAGAACTTCTGGGTCTGAGATCAGGAGTCCTTCTGAACAGCATTTCTGTGCGGCAGGGATGTAGCAGCCACATCCAGAGCAACAGAAGTAACAGGACTTGCTGTATTGTCATAGTTCTCCACTGCTGATACTCTTCGAGCTGGTCAGCAATGGAGTCTACAGTTTTGTTTTTCCTGACTTGCTTTTTATGTTTTTAGTTGGTGATGCAGCCAAGAAGTTTCCAACAGCTCATCTCTGAACTGTACATAGTAGCCAGATCCTGAAAGCAGAGAAGAGACATTGTAAGTTGAAATACATTTACTCCCTAGTGTCCAGCATCCCTGCTACCCTGCAAATGCAAAGCACTATGAGATACAGAGCAACGTGGTTAGGAATATAAAGGCTGTCTTGCACAGGGAGAACATTGCAAATATGTTAGGTAGCTGCTTTCAAAGCCCTTCCTAAGAAAGAACAAGTGTGCACTCAGATGATCAAGTATTTTCCCATTAAAACCTTATAATTTAGAAACTTTCAAGGATGTTATTCTATATAGGCTGGGGGATTAATACTGGTGGAACATACACATTAAATACTGCAGTCTTTACTTCAAATGTTTTCCACCTGATTTGATTTACAAGAATTCCAGTGTTTTATTAATCTTACTACCAAGAGGACTGAAAAGCCAACAGAAAGTAGTTTCAGAAATGAGGAAATGGTAAAACACCAGTTCTCCAGGGTGTTTTAAATGGCAAAAGAGAACATCATATGCATTAGAAGAAATACAACATGACAAGAAGCAAACTTTTAAATAAAAAAGTTATTGAGAAGAGCTTAAAATATGGAGAGATGCAAAGTTAGCCTTAAAACTTAGGATGTATTTTAAAAATGAGGACCTGTTTTGCAAGTATCCTGAATAAGTTTAATTTTGCAAAATAGTGAAATGAATCTCATTGTGGCAAGTGATATAGCAGAAAGAAGGCAATCTCCTAAATAATCTTTGGTTTGTCTCCACTTTTTTCTTTGCTTTGCTTAAGGTTTTTCTTCTAACAGAAGCATATGTCATTTCATCAAGACAAATTTTGCCAGGTTCTCCTTTCTCTACTTAAATCCTAGCATGCAAAGTGTAGCAAATTTTGCTACTGAGATCATCTGGTGATTTCTTCCTTCGGTAAATTATGAAAACCTATGGTTTGTCTTCTTAATAGGATATAGCTTCTGGAAATTTTAATCAGCTTTTAATCTTTTTTTTTTTTTTTTAATGTCCACAGAAATAAAATGTATGGATTGGAGTTACAGTTCCTTGTATACTCTTCCACATGTGGCAGAAAAGTTCAAGTGGTAAAAAGCATGGGTTCTCTTTTCTCCTCTTACTTCAGTAGATTAGACATTGCACACAGCATTCCCATGTGTCCTCTGGTTTTAATAACACTATACTATAGTTGACTATCATCTTAAATAGTTTTATTTTATTTTTCCAAATAGAACAATGTAAAACTTTCAGACAGTCTGTGTTTGGTTTTGATATTGATGTACTACATAAGATATTTCCAGTAAGTCTGTGTTGATTTAAAGAGTTTACAATAGTATGTCAGAAGTTTGGAGGGCAAAGCCTATAAAATGTAGTGGTTTCTTACAGATAAAAGAATGTGTGCACTAAACTAATAACTGAACAGATTCAGTTCAGGAACCACCTTTTATCTTCAGAATTAAATTCTCTCAGGAGAACATTTTCACTTCTCCAACATTTGGAAGACTAAAGAATTTATCACAGCCAAAGCTTTCAAGGACTTCAGTCTCAAGACTGTCCAAAGGCATTCATTTTTATTCATCTAAATAAACACCACATTGTGTATCCTTTTATTTACCCCTTCTTCCTTTCCCCTAAAAAAAAAAAAAAAAGATTAAATTTGCTTTATTTGTGAACTTTGAATACTATACAAAATAATGTGTCCTAAAATAAGCCATTAATAACATATGTCAAATTATATCAGTGTGTACATACTGAAGTTGTGGTCTTCCACATCAAAAATTATTTGTCACAACTTATATTTATGTTCTTTTGAAACAAAGGCATATTCAGTGAGAAAGAAAAGCTATGATTTATTCTCAAATATTTATTAAAGTTTCTTCTCAAAGACCATAGAAATTTAAAACTTGAAATTAACTTTTCAGGATTTTATTAGTTTCTGTAAAAATTGGAAAGCTATTAGTTTGTTTGAAAAGGAGATACAGTAGTTTCTTTTTCTCTCTCTCTCTTTTTTTTCTTTTTTGGTTAGTTTTTCCTCTTCTTATTGCCATCACTATATATAATCCACTATTCACACATTATTATTTGATGTAGAAGTGTTGTTAAATTCCTCTTGGGAAATAATGCTTCAATATTAGGGGTTGTTATTGAATTTCCTTCTTGTTAAATTAGGTCAGCAGAATGAAAGCTCAGATGAAATTTGTTAAAGTTACAGAAGTCGCTAATGTACACGGACTTGGCAAGCATGGCTGCTTAATGGATGTACGTACCAGTAAGGTTTTTTCCCTCCTTTGAGACTCCTGTTAGAGTTCAGCTTCCTGCCCTAAATGTTTGATAGTCATCTACACTAAAGCAATAACATTTACCTTTAAAAATAACGTAGCAAACAAGAAACCCCAGACTTTACTAACAGCAATGAATAGCCAAAAAGTCATCAAATAAAAGCACAGGAATAGAGGAAATGTTTGAAGGAAACCTTTTAATATATAAGTAAAGAAAGCAGAAGTCCCATTTCCGTAATACTTTACGTATTTGAGTTGTGTGCTATGCTGCCAGAACCAGGGCAGTCAAATTTATCATACGTTTTACAATTTCCTGAAAAACTAATTGGAATAAAGCCTAAATATTGGTGAAATTCATATCTTAAAAGAGGGTCTGAGAACTCAGCAGAAATGTAAGTTTTGCTGGCTTCAAGTTTTTTTTTGTTTTTTTTTTTTTTTTTTTTTTTTTTCTTTTACAGAAGTGAAAGTTTTAAATAGTGTTAAATATCTTTAAATGAAACCATTTCTCTAGTAGTTCACCTTAAAACTCTCTCTAATTCTTCCAAATGACAGTTCTCCAATTTTTCCCAAAACAGAAAAGAAAAAAAGTAACAGACCATAAACTTAGAGCATGCTAAAAACTATGAAATGGGTGCCATGATTCCATATTTCTGTGTAACACCCCTCTAAATTATATTAAATATATACAGAGGAACACTGTGCCCCTTTCTACTCAGTGTGTTTCTGTTTTATTTTTATTTTTATTTTTTGGATCAATCTCCAGTATGTAAGAGATGTATCATCAGCAAAACTACAAATCATTTCACATTTAGCTTTCAGCTACTAATTTTAAAATAATTAAACAGTTCTCATTTTTCACATGTTAATCACTTCTGAATCTCTCAGAACTTAGGCAAAAACATTTTAATGCAACTTCAACTGTATTCCTGTGATTTCAGATATAATTTTCTCAAAATTTTTAAAATACTGTATTTTGCTTGGTCAGCCATGCAAACCCCCTAATGATACTAAAACATACTTTATACCATTTGAAACTCGTGAGATTTAATGGATATATAAGATGGGCCATTAGTACCCTTAACTGACACACTATGAGGAACAGTCTTCTTATCAGTTAGACTTCCATTTACTGGTTGTTCCTAGCCATTGATCTTTTTCAGCTGAGAAATCCACATTTCTGTAGTAAATGACTTCCTCTCTTGTTAGTCTTTCTGCATTAATATGTAGCTGCTTTTGGAGTCAGCAAAATTACATTTCAAATAAAAACTGTAATATGGATCAAAAGCTTGTCTAATGTCTTTTAATCAAAGAAATTTTAGTGAGCTTCTCTCTTCTGTGAAGGGCAACTCCAGCCGTCATCAGATTTTCCGTGGGATAGCTGCCATCTTTCATTTTTGTTCCACATGTAGCTTTGGTCAAAGCTAAATGAACTGAGTTTTAAGTCTGGAACAATTCAGATAGTTTGTTTGAAAACATTTATGCATTTCCATTTCTGGTTTCTCTATTTCTGTTTCAGTTGGGAGGCATAATCTAGCCAACATCTCCAATCTTGTCTTTCAGCACTTTATTTCTACATTCATACCAAAGGAAAACAATTTTGGAACAGGAGATGCTTCATGAAAAATTAAATTAGGTTAAATTACATTGGAATTTTATGAGGAGAACAATCCTTATTTATTTTTTTTTATAGTGGAAGATGCTGTAACATACTTTTTGTTTTGTTTTTGTTCTACAGAGGTGACACCAATACTGTTCTTCATGCACATCCACAGTGAGAACCATTTTTTATTTTCTGTCCAATTTCTCAAGGCCTTTGCTTCCTCTCCAGTCACCAGTACAGTGCTACCACCACAGGCTGCATATCCTCTTTCAAAGTGGCTACAGCCATCAGGTGTAAGACATATTGCTACTATTTTGGTTTCCTCTTTGTAAGATACCTCTCTATTCCAGTAGAAATCTGACTCCCAGTTTAAGATGTCATAAACAAATTCAAAACTATGGCTAGTTTTGAAATAATCTGAATTACTTAAACTAGTAGAAATGAAAGCAGAATGACAGCTAAATGCAGAAAAAGCTCAATTTCAAATTAAGACTCAGAAGAGCCCAAAACTCATCTAATTTAGTTTTAACTTTCTTTGCCATCTCTTTATTAACACGGAGAAGAAAGTTCCAATGCTGTAGAAGCATGAACTTGAAACAGATACCTTTGGAAGAGGCTCTTTTTCAAAACACAACAGAATATTTGTCTGTAACTGTAATTTACAAGTGTAATTTATCCCTTAAGGGAAAAAGACAACATTTTTATAATTTTTTTTGTTTGTTTGTTTGTTTTAAAAAAAGACTACTTGAAGCCAACAAACAAGCTCTTTCAAATGATCAATTCTTAATGGATTCTAATCTCATCATTCATTTTATTATAGATTTATGTTCCTTGCTTTATCTATTCTGTTCCAATAAAATTGCCTGAAGCTGTTCATAATGTAATTGCCTAGTTCTGAACTAAGGAGATAATTGGTAAATTGTCAATAAGTTGCTCATTTTGTAGCCTCCAGCATAACACTTACACACTGCAGTGACCACACTTGCAGTTATTAAATTATAACATGAATTTGCAAAGTAGTCAGCTGTACCTTTGACCTTTAGAACTCAATCCTCTTTATGAAGTCCCGCAACACTTGATCCACTTAGGAATTTTAATTCGAGTATGCATGGTCTGATGCTAAACGCAAAAAAAAAAAAAAAAATAAAAAA